GTAGAGCACTTGTCTGGCACCTGTAAGGCACTGGGTTCTATCTTCAGCAACACATAAAAAGTAAATAAATAGATAGATAAATAAATAAATAAACTCACAATGTTAGCACTTCACACCCACTAGGATGGCTAGAATTTAAGAAGGAAAGGAAGAAGAAAAAAGAAAGAAGGTAAGTCTTAATAAATATGTGGAGAAACTTAAACTTTCACATATTGCTGGTGGAAATGTAAAATGGTACAATCACTGTGGAAAACAATTTGCCAGTTACTCAAAAAGTTAAACTGAGTTGCCATGTGACCTAGAAATTCTACTCTGATGTTTATTCCTCAAAGAACTAAAAACAGGTACTCAAATACCTGTACATGATCACAGTAGCACTATTCACAGTAGCCTAAAGGCAAAAACAAATCCAACATCCAACTGATGAATGGCTTAAATAAATAAAGTGTGATCACATGCATGCATAGAATGCTATTCAGCCATCAAGAGGAATGAAATACTGACACACTATATGTACGAATCTTAAAAACAATACGCTGGGTGGTGTGCAGGGGCTCATGCCTGCAAGCCCATCTACTCCTATAGTCCCAGAGACTCCAGAGGCTAAGGCAGGAGGATCACAAGTTTGAGGACAGCCTGGGCAATTTAGTGAGATCCTGTCTCAAGATAAAAAAAATAAAAATGGGTAGGGGGGAAATTAAGGAATTTTGGATTGTACAGAGGGGAGTGAGGGGAGGGAAGCAGGCTATGGAGATGGGCTATGGAGATGGGAAGAGAGAGCAATGACGGACATGATTACCCTCTATACACATATGACTACACTGATTCCCCCTACTTCACTGTAATTTCTTAGCTCCAATCTGGTCTAAGCCTCAACCTGTCCTTTCTAGACAATTCTGGGTGTTTCTCATTCATCTTCTGCTTCAAATCTTAAAATATATTCTCCACTGGGTATGGTGGTGCATGTCTGTAATCCCAGCAACTCAGGAGGCTGAGACAAGAGGATCCTGAGTCCAAAGCCAGTCTCAGCAAAAGCAAGGCCCTAAGCAACTCAGTGAGACCCACGCACTAAATAAAATTCAAAAATAGAGCTGGGGATATGGCTCAGTGGTCTAGTGTCTCTGAGTTCAGATACCCAAAATAAAATAAAATAAAAAATAAATAAATAATTAAATTAAAATTAAAATTAAAAGGAGCTGGGATGTAGCTCAGTGTTTCAGAACCTCTGGGTTTTGTTCCTCTTTCATCACTAGGCTTCAGAAACTATGGTTTCCTTTCTGTTCAACAAACACACTTGGCTCATTCCCACCACCCTTGCACTTGTTCTTCTCTCTGATTAAAATGCTCTTTCCCCAGATATTCACATGGCTGGCTCTCTTCATTTTATTCAGGGACGTTGAAAAATCTTGCAAAAGCAAGTCCAAGATTTTCTTCACTCTTGCCCTATGACATAGCTTCCTTCCTTTGATAAGCTGTGACCAGGGGAGCTCAGCCTGGGTTTTTGATTCCTAGGAGAAAATGCATATATGTTTCTGACAAAGGAAAGAAAAACATAAACTCTTCAGTTTTTTAATCTTTTTTTATATCCTAAAAAACTTTGCATATTTGCTATACTGTTAATTTCTGTGTTGGAAGATAAGAGACATGCATGGCTCATTGTAAATTAGATGTATCAGTGTCACTCATTTTAGGAGTCAAATGTAAAAGAGAAAAGCAGTTTTGTCCACTGTACATGATGGTTTTGTTTGTCTTTCCTGAGATGGGAGTGATTTGAAATTATTTTCAGAACTTTTAATGAGTTCCACAGTCAAGAAGAGAAATTTCTTCACACACTGAAGTTGAAGAAACTGTGTGGGTAATATTCGATTTTCACAGTTTTTATTTTATATGATTAAAGATAATTTTGGTGATCACACTGCCTCCATTATAAGGGAAAGCTTGTGCTGCCTTCTAAAGAGGCTTTAAATAATTTAAATATACAGGAATTTGGGGTAAGTTCAATGGAAGAGCACTTGCTTTGCATGCTTGAGGCCCTGGATTTTACCCTCAGTATTGCAAGGAAAAAAAGTTTCAATATTCAAGAGTTGAAAATATAGGGGCCCTCAATGCTAGAAATTATTCCTTTTGTTTTATAATGTTATTTCGTGTCTCAATAATGATATTACATAAGACTCAGAAGGGAGGCTGAAATGTACCTCAATGTTAGGTTACATCATGTGCAAGGCCCTAGATTTAATCCTCAACATCAAAGGGGGAAAAAAGAATAAAACATTTTTAAATTTTATTTTAAATTTATGTATTTATTTATAGTACTGGGGATTGAACCAAGGATTGCTCTGCCACTGAGCTACATTTATTATTTTTTGAGACAAAGTCTCACTAAGTTGTCCAGGCTAGCTCCACACTTGGGATGCCCTGCCACAGCCTTCTGAGTTGCTGAGATTACATTTGTGAGCCACTGCACCCAACCTCAATTTTTTAGAAAAGTATTTCAATTTACAGAAAAACTGCAAAAATAATACAAAGATTTCCTTCACTCTTGCCCTATGACACAGCCTCCTTCCTTTGATAAACTGTGACTAGGGGAGCTCCCTCAGATCATGATTTTTTCATCATTGTCTTTCCATCTCATTATATTTTCTTCTGAGCCATTTGAGAGTAATTTTTTCTGAGCCCATTTGCTCCTTAAGTACTTTAGTGTTTATGTTCTAAAGCCAGTGCAATAATCAAAAATCAGGAAACTGGAACTGAGGGAGCTCAGTGATACTGTACTTGCTTAGCAAGGATACAAGAGGTACTGGGTTTGATCCTCAGCCCACAAAACAAATAAGTTGAGGAAAGTAACACTAATGCAATACTATCTTGTAAGCTACAAACCTTATTGAAAAATTGTCAATTGTTCCAATAGTGTCCTTTATAATAAAAGAGAAAAGTTTTTTTTTCCCTAATTTAGGATTTCATGTTAAAGTTGTGATGTCAAATTTGATATTTCTTTTTAGATTCCCTTGACTTGGAAGAGCTCCTCAGTTTTTTCATTCATGACTTTGACCAAAAGGCTTTGATCTTTTTTCTTGGGGTACTGGGGGTTGAACTCAGGGGCACTCAATCACTGAGCCACATCCCAGCCCTCTTTTTGTATTTTATTTAGAGACAGGGTCTCTATGAGTTGCTTAGTGCCTCACTGCTGCTGAGACTTGGCTTTGAACTTGTGACCCTCCTGCCTCAGTCTCCTGAATTGCTGGGATTACAGGTCTATGTGTCCAGCAAAAGCTTTGATTTTTTTTAGACATTCTAATTTTTTTCACCCTTATTATTTCTTTGGGGTCTTGAGAGTCAGAAACACATTTCTTCTCATTTTTGGCCTGATTCCCTAAAACACAGTTTAAGGACAAATCTCCATTTTCAAAGAACCTTGCTTGGATCATATTATTCTAATATTTTTCTTTAACATTTTATTTATAGCACCTTTTACCTTGTGGGTTTGCTATTTGCATACATGTTTGTGGTTTACCTCCCTGCCTAGAATATAAACTAAATGAAAGTAGGAACTTTTGTCTTGTTTGCCAATGAACTTCAAGAGCCCAGCACAGTGCCTGGCACTTATTAGATAGTCAATAAATATTTGTTGAATAAATGAATCAGAATGTCTCTTGGGTTTGTCATTTAGTCTGGCTTTAAAGGCACTGAAAGGGAGTGGGGAGGTGAGCGATTGTTCTCCTGAAGTAGGCTCAGAGGTCCCTTAAGGATGAGACTCTAATGTGAACAAAGAACGTGGTGTGTCCCAATCCACGACTAAAACACCCAGGTCACCCCAGGTGAACTAGGCTTCACGAAATAATCACACAGAGATAGAAAAGTACCTTTTTCTTAGGGTCCTGTGATGGCTCCTCTGACCTTAGGGGTCCATGGAAAGAGCAAGAGGAGCGGGTGCTGAACACTTAATGGGGAAGAAGCCATTCAAATGAGGCAGGGGGTAGGATTTCAAGGGAACTGGTGAGTGTAGCTCAACCCCTCTGGGTGTTGCCTACTCCTTGGGCCACGCTTTGTTATCCCTGCGAGGGAAAAGACCCCAGTCATGGCACTACCGCGCCAGAATACAGTGATCTTTCAGATGCCCCTGGTGCATCAGGATTTAAAGATGCCTGAGTTTGGAGTGGCTCCCCACAGTGGTGAGAACTTTCCAATCCGCAGGGATTCCCCTTGAGGCCCAAAGGTTACTCTGGTCGTCCTTAATAAGAGGTTCTTGGACTGTAGCTGGGCAACGCCGGGCATCCAGCACCTCCAAGCGACAATGAAATCCGAGTTGGGTCTGAAGTAGACTTCTATTCCCTTCCTCCACTCCCCCCACTCCCTTTTTGGTCCTGGTGATCCTCTCCGCTCCCGAAATTGGAACCTCATTCACACTCTAAATCCAGGATATTGGCTGTCTCCTGCATCTCGGCAAAAATCCTTCCTCAAACTAAGCCAAGTTATCTGGGTGAAAGCAGAGCCTTCTTTAAGGAAGGCTCAGGTCTGGGGTCATTGACAACGAAGAGCTCCATGATAACAGATGACTACCGGACAATCTAGGGACATCAGACTCCCCACGTTGAGTTTCCTTGCTTTCTCGAGCCCAGGGCATTGGAAAGCCAAAGGGATGCAGATGAGGGAAGGGGAGAGTATCCATCTTTTGGCATGGTGGTATGGTAACCCAAGCCGGCGTGGAGGTGCAGCGGTCTCGGGCAACTCTTAGGCGAAGGTAAGGAGGCCGCACGGGTATCAGGATAGGCCGGCCGGGAGTTCCCGGGCGAGGTAAGGGCGGGTCTCCATTTGCCGGCCCTAACAGGACAAATTTGGTGTTGCGGCGCTTGCTACAGCGTCCACTCTTAGCCGCAGACTGCAAAACCGACGCCGGAGGGCAGCTGTAGCTGCGAACCACTGACATCCCGGTGCCCCTCCGCGGCACTTGAGTTTACTCCTATCGCGAGATTTTCGGAGAAAGGGGCGTGACGCCGGCCTACGCAGTTACCAAGACAACTGGGTGGCGCTAGAGCGCGCAGGATGTAGGCGTAAGCGGAGGTTTTGCCCGCTAGCAGAGACTCTAGGAGTGATCTTCTTTATACTCCCATTCTCTGAGGCCGTGTCCCTGTCCCCAAAGGCCATGGGTCGGATCTCGGGGCTCGTGCCCTCTCGCTTCCTGACACTTCTGGCGCATCTAGTGGTCGTCATCACCTTATTCTGGTCCCGGGTAAGACACACAGCTGCCCTCCCTCCTTTTGCCCCCTTTCCCCTCTCCGAGTTGCCTCACTCCAATCCTGCCTCACCCCTTTGGGGTCTTGCCCCTTTGTATCCTTCCATTCCCCGCAATCCACCCATCATTCATTTCTCTTCTTTTCTTCCCTGCTTCCCAGGACAGCAACATCCAAGCTTGCCTGCCTCTCAGTTTCACTCCTGAGGAATATGAGAAGCAAGACATTCAGTGAGCTCTTGGGGCCGGGTGGTTTGACCCGAGTTGGTGGGAATGAAAGGGTCTTGAAGAAGTCCAGAAGTTCTGAGCCAATCCCTTTTCTCTTTGCAGGCTGGTGATAGCACTGTCTGTCACCCTGGCCCTCTTTGCAGTGGAGCTGGCCGGTTTCTTCTCAGGAGTTTCCATGTTCAACAGCACTCAGGGTCTCATCTGTATCCTTTCTGCCTTCGGGATTTCCTTCATCTAACAAGTCCTTTCTAGCACAATGGTCCAAGCCAGCAAAAAGAATCCAGTTGAAATCTTCTAAGGCAGTGCAGGGGATTTAATACAATTTTCAAACATTTGTTGGGGCTGGAGTTGTGGGTCAGAGGTAGAGCACTCCCCTAGCGTGCATGAGGCATTGGGTTCAATCTTCAGCACCACATAAAAATAAAATAAAGATATTGTGTCCACCTATAACTAAAAAATAAATTATCAAAAAAATTTGTTAAGCCCTGTTATGCACTGGGCACTGAAGATTCCCACATGGAAGGAGGCAGACACACAGACATGCATCTGTAAGAGTGATAAACAATTCCAAAGGAGGGTGTAAAGATATAAAGCCAAGGAATTGAGGCACATGGATTAGGGAAGCTCTTACTTTTGAAATGTGGACCAGGAGGATGATGGCTCTGGAGGGTGATGCCAGCAGAGTGTGGACTGGGGTAGGTAGAGAACCTACCTACCTTACCTCACCTAAAGGGTCCAGGCTGATCCCTAGGTGTGCAATGGTGGCCACATCTGGCCAAGCTCAGCTCTGGCCTCTAGTCATATGACTGTCCTAAAACTCAGAGACAAGGCTGCTGACTGTGGTCCTTGCAATACGATGAGGAAAGAGAGAGATTAACTCTGGTTCAGGTGCCAGCCTCACTGACAGCCATTTCGGGTCCATCACTGCCTGTGGATCCAAAGACTTTCCTTGACTCTGGTGCATTTCCAAGCTATTGGGGCTCACTGTAGTGCATCTGTGGCTCTATCCTTCTTCATATTTGAGCGCTGGGAGTGTACCACATACTGGTACATTTTTGTCTTCTGCAGGTGTGATAGCATTCAATATTTGGGGAATGGGGGAAGAAGGATTACCCCCAATCTGAAGGTTTCCCCTATATAGGGCTTTCCTCATGTATGATATACCATATCCACTCAACATCTTGTAGTCTTTTGAAATTGCATCCCTCATTCTCATCCCACTTCCTTAGACCTAGGGGGTGGAGTTTCTGGTTTGAAGGGACCCTGAACTCATTTCTTACCTTCCACAGTGCCCTCCCAGCTATCACTGAAGTGGCTTTATTCGTCGCTGTCCTTGGTCTAAAAAAGAAACCTTTCTGATCACCTTCATGACGGGAAAGAAAGTAAGGACGAAGGATGATGGAGCGAGAAGCTGCTAACCGTTCCTGGAAGAAGGAAAGCATAGGCTTCAGTTTCTTCTCCCTCTCCTCTCAAACTATTTCTGGTAAAGGATGGCAGTGGAATAATTATCTCCCGAATACGAGATTAGCGTTTTCCTTAGTGCCTTGTAATAAAATATATTTTATAGTAACAGCAAGACTTATGCAATTTGCAGGAGACAATTGGGGTAGTTAAACTGCCGGAGAAAAGAAAGGCTGTTTCAGTCTTACAGACGGTAAGATAACTAGTATCGCTTCTACTTTGATTTTTACGGTAGATGTCAGGCGGAAGGAAGTGGGCGGGGATATGTAAATAATGATGCGCTCAGAGCTCGGTACACGTATGTGAGCAGAGCATTATGGGAGCAATTAATTTCTCCCTTTTTGGCGCGGAAGGAAAAAATTTACTTTAAAAGATTTTCGAATGAATTCGGCGTTAGCATTAAAAGACCCCTAAGTAGCTGAGTTGATCAGGTTAGCTTGTTATATACTCACCGTAGTTTACAGCGGAATGTATTCTACTGAGTACGGACAAGGCAACGGTACTTCGTATCGTCAGGTGGGATAATCCTTACCTGTTCCTCCTTTTGGAGGGCAGATAGAACATGATGATTGGAGTTCGCATGATACGTGATTAACGTCTCTGCGTAATCAGGACTTGCAACACCCTGATTGCTCCTATCTGATTCTTCCTGACGATCTGATACCTTTTAATTTCCAGTGACTGAGAGAGTAAACGTGGGTGTAAGTCATTTTCGAATGAGATGTTGTGTGAATTGGGCTGCTTTCTTATATTTTATGGTCATGTGCTAGGAAATTTGCTGTGTTTTTTTGTACGGTGCTGTTTATCACTTGTTCTATAAAGTTTCAGTCATACTTATTGTTGTAAGTGGTATGTTGTCAACCTTCAACATTAGAGGACTACTTGCTCAGGATGAAAGCCCGTTAGAAGTTGGAGTAACCACTCATGAACCTAGTGAAATCCTTATTAACTCTGTAGTCTGATGAGAACAGGCACACTCCTTCGTGCCTTTGCTGATAATAACATAGAAACACACAAATAAGTCAAATGTTCTGTCATGTCACAAAATGAATATTCTTAAATTCACTGTAGGTTGGGAAGGTTCTCTGTACACCTTTCAGTCCTGAATGGCAGAGACCGCACCATTAAAAAAAATAAGCAAAACTCATACAAGGAGATACTCTCTAATGATGTCTTACATACACATAACTTTTCTGTCTATCCTTATAGCAGGCCTTCATTCTTAGCATTCTTTCAATACTTACTTATTGAGCTCTTACTATATACAAAGTGATGCAACTAGGACTAAGGGAATAGATGTGAAAAAGACCCATACTCAGCTTTGACCATTACAAATCTTATGGCTAATACAGAAAAGAAACAATTTCTAGTTCACCCAGAGTGATTAATTCTACAAATTGTGAAAAGTCCTACAAAAGATAATTAAAGGTGCTATGGAGTAGAGATTAATTTGCCCAAGGTGTGGCAAAAAAGATTGCTTCTTAAACTCCTGGAGCTTAGCAGGAGCAAAGAGGGGAAGCCAGGAAGATGTGCCTTGCTGGTCATGGTTAATGCCTTGGTAGGAAAGATCTATTTCATCCCCTTACAGTCAGGCTGCCTCTGTTGGCCCCCAGTGGAGTGTTCCTACTGATTTAGGAAAGCTGATTATCAGCTTACCATTATTAAAGGTCATGTAAACTTACAATTAAATAACCTATAGTTAGACTGAAGCATAACTCAGTGGAAGAGTGCATACTCAGAGACCTTGAGGCCCTGGGTTCAACCCCTGGCATCAAAAAATTTTTTTAAATAAGTAAAAAAAGTAATATAAAAAGAGACAATAAGTACCAAGTGCTTTCTGCCTTGGTGATTTTATTGTTATACATTCATGTGATTATTTCTGTTTATTGTATCTGTATGGTAGAAATAATATATAGTGATGTTCTAGCATGCATCTGTTCCCAACTAATTTATTGACTTTTAACTGGTTTGAGATAGACATTAGCAGGAATTTTTACACTATGGAAACTGGCAAATGCTACAAATCAGGCTTTTTTATTTGTCTACATTTAAGAAAGTGATACAGAAAATGTTAATGGGGATTAAATTTAAAAGTGTTAAGTCTGCAATTGTTACATTGTGAATAGCACAATCCAGATATTCTTAGGATGTAAGGTGGGTGCTATGGCCACACCTGTAACCCTAGCAATTTGGGAGATTGAGGCAGGAGGATTGCAAATTCAAGCCAGCCTTGGGCAACTTAGTGAGACCCTGTCTCAAAAAAAAAAAAAAATGGTGTGGGTGAGTGGTTGGGAAGGTAGCTTAGTGGTAGAGCACCCCTGTCTAATCCCTAGTATTGCAAATGTTCATAGGATTTGAAAACTATTATCTGATTTAACAAAGAAGTCACTCTAGTCATTGACAAACCAGTGGGGTTTCAACATGTATCTTTATTTTATGTTGGAACTATACTTGTAGTTAGGCTACAATTCCATTTAAAAAATCACAAATACAGGAATGGAATTTATAGTAAATAATATCATATATTTTACTATTATCTATAAATTTTGTGCTATAATCCAGTAAAATTTATTTTAAAAACTTGTCCATATACATAAATGCATATTTTAAAAAACAAACAAAAATGCAAACTCTTTGGGGGTAGAGTTGGTTGTTGAGCATTTACCAGACCATACCTGTTCTGCCATCCCAACAGACTGCTTAACATCAATGACTTCCTTGTTTGGGAAATGACCCAGGATCACTTCTTGGGCTTCAGTTTGACCTCTTTTCAAAATGTAGTATGTTGACTGCTCCCTTCTTCTTTTTTGTTACCAGGGATTGAACCCAGGGGTGCTTAACCACTGAACCACATCTCCAGCGCCCCCCTTTAATACCTTCATTTGTTTATTTATTTATTTTTATGTGGTGCTGAGGATCAAACCCAGTGCCTCATACATGCAAGGCTACCACTGAGCTATAACCCCAAACCCCAGCCCTTTTTATTGATTATTTTGAGATAAGATCTCACTAAAATGCTTAGGAACTACCCAAGTTGTTAAGACTGGCTTTGAACTTGCAATCCTCCTGCCTCAGCCTCCCAAACTATTGGGATTATAGGCATGCACCACCATGCCAGGCCTCCCAGCACCTAACTTCTTACCAGGCAGTAGGGGTGTAGTGTGGTGTACTACTGACATCTATCAAAGGGACCAAAGTGTCTCAGCTCAGTTCACCGAAGTATTTCATGGGATTGTTAAGAGATTAATTGAGATAATCCAGGAGTTAGGCTGGAGTGTTAGTAGGGTGTTGGACCTCTGATAACTGGTAGGTACCTGTTCCCTAAGTTGACTTAGATTCTGAGACTTTCCCATCATGGTGGATATCTGTTATTTTTGCCTGTTCAGTATCCATCCTTTTTACTGGTAATAGCATCTTTCTTTTCCTTTGGGAGGCCTTCCCCCATTCTTAGTCCTCAGGGTTAGTAAGAGGCTGACAGCCACTCCCTCCCATCCCTCTCTCTGCTTCAGGGGTGGCCTTGAGGTCCAAGCCTGGCCAATAAAAGCATTCCATTTTTTTAGCCACAGCTTTTGGTTCAGACATAAAGCCTGATAAACCAGGACTTTTAATTTAATTTAATTTTTTCTATCTGTCAGTACTGGGTGTTAAACCTAGGGGCACTCTATCACTGAGCCACATCCTCAACCATTTTTACTTTTTATTTTTGAGACAGGGTCTCACTAAATTGCCCAGGCTGGCCTCAAACTTGCAATCTTCCTTGCCTAAACTCCTGAGTTTCTGAGATTACAGATGTGTGCCACCATACCCAGCAAACCAGGAAAAGAGAAGCCTGGTCTCTGAGAAATAAAAGCCTGCTGTAAAATACAATGACTAATGCAGTGTAGTACTGTTGTATAATTAGATAGGCCAATGGAACACACCAGAGAGTTCAGAAATAGGCCTAAATACATAGAATTCAGTGGATGATAAAGACATCATTTTAAAACAAGCAGGGAACTTTTATATATACTCAGAAGAATTGAAAGCAGGGACTTGAACAGATTATTTGCACAAATATGTTTATAGCGACGTTATTATAAGACTTCAAAGCAGAAGCAATCCAAGTGTTCATCAATGGAGGAATAGATCAACAAAACGTGGTATGTACCTACAGTGGGATATTATTCAGCTTTAAAAGGAAGGAAATTCTATGGGATACAGGGGGTGGAGAGAGGGTAGACAAAGAGTACAGGGATAGATAGACAGTAGCAATAACTTATTTATTTATTTATTTTTGGTACCATGGATTGAACTCAGAGACACTCAACCACTAAGCCATATCCCCAGACCCCTTTTGTATTTTATTTAGAGAGAGGGTCTCACTGAATTGCTTAGGGCCTCACTAAATTGCTAAGGCTGGATTTGAACTTGTGATCCTCCTGCTTCAGCTGCTGGAATTATATGCATGTGCTGCCACACCCAGCCATAAGCAATAATTTCTAATGTTCCATAGCACAGTAGGATAATTGTGGTGAACAACAATGCATTGACTTTCTTTCTTTCTTCTTTTATAATATTTTTAGTTGCAGGTGGACATAATAACTGTATTTTATTTATGTGGTGCCAAGAATCAAACCCAGTGCCTCACACTTGCTAGGCAAGTGCTCTACCACTGAGCCACAACCCAGCCCTGCACTGACTTTCAAAACAGCTACTAGAGAGAATTTGGAATGTTCCCAACACAGACAGTAGAGCTGGGCACAGTGACACACGCCTGTAATCCCAGAGGCTCTGGAGGCTGAGGCAGGAGGATTAAAAGTTCAAAGCCAACCTCAGCAATTTAGCGAAACTCCTAAACAACTCAGTGAGACCTGTCTCTAAATAAAATACAGAAAAGGACTAGGGGTGTTGCTCAGTGGTTAAATGCCCCTAGGTTCAATATCAAGTACCAAAAAACAAAATGTCTAAAGCAATAGATATGCCAGTTACACTGATCTGCTTATTATACATTGTAAGCTTGTATTGTAATGTCATCCTGGATCCCATAAATATGTATAATTACTATGTGTCAATTAAAAATAAAAAAATATTTTTTAAAAAGGACCAGATGGGGGCTGGGGATGTGGCTCAAGCGGTAGCGGGCTCGCCTGGCATGCGTGCGGCCCGGGTTCAATCCTCAGCACCACATACAAATAAAGATGTTGTGTCCGCCAAAAACTAAAAAATAAATATTAAAAATTCTCTCTCTCTCGCTCTCTCTTTAAAAAATAAATAAATAAATCTCCAGGCATTCAGTAGTTAAAAAAAATAAAAAATAAAAAGGACCAGATGTAGTGGTGCATGCCTGTAATCCCAAGGATTTAGAAGGCTGAGGCAGGAGAACTGAAAGATCGAGACCATCCTCAGCAATTTAGCAAGGTCCTAAGCAACTTACAGAGACCCTGTCTCAAAAAAACAAAAACAAACAAACAAACGAAAAAAAAAACAACTCAGTGCCTCTGAGTTTAATCCCCAGTTACTGCCCACCTCTGCAAAAAAAAAAAAAAAAGGGAATTCTGATATATGCTACAGCGTAGGTGAACCTTGAGGACATTATGCTAAGTGAAATAAGCCAGTCACGAAAAGACAAATACTGTATGATCCCACTAGCATGAGGTACCTAGAGTAGTCAAATTCATAGAAACAGAATGGTGAATAGGGGAGATAAATAGTGTATAGAGTTTCAATTTTGCAAGATGAAAAGAGTTTTGGAGATTACACAAGAATATTAACATATGTATTGCTGAGCTGTGCACTTAAAAATGGTTAAGATGGTGAATGTTTTGTATTTTTACCACAATTTAAAAAAGAGATCATTT